TGATGAATCAGCATCTCTATAGCAAGGTGCCAGTCGCTCCGTACGAACATCGTGTGCAATTATTTTGGAGCGCAAAAGCAATAGCCAATTTCAATCCACTTCTGGATGTACATAAACCACGAGATGCTGCTTGACGCCCATCGTACGCTGCGGTGTTGACGTGATTTGCCATCCTCGTGACCTCTGGCCTCTCCGTGTGTTATGAAGGGCCATTGCCCGAAATGTCACCGGTTATATACTTTTTTTTTAAGGCCGCAGCGGTATTGACGAAAGTGTTGCGTTGATTTGCAATCATGGTGAATTGTGGGTAATCTTGTAGCACAACCTTGTAATTGACAATGGTCCAAGTTACTCATTAATTTCATAACACACTGCTGAAGCCCATCAACATGAGTTTAACACGCCGCACTGCTGATGACGACACTTAAGAGAATTGAAAACCGATTGCAGGGTTTCTTTGCATCGGTTCGCATCATAATTCACGTGATGTGACTCAGCCTATGGATCTGAACCGATGCTATGGGGGCGCCACGGTGGAGAGATGTTAACAACCTCGCCTGGTGTACAGGAGGTTGTCGGTTCGACCCCGACGCCTAAATATTTCGAATTTGCATGTTCTCTCTGTGGTCGTGTGGATTTTTGTCCAGGTCATCCGGATTTTCCCTCAACATTTAGAATCAACATCACGCGTTTTAGAGTATTTAGGCTGCTATAAATTTCCACGCGATGATAAGCCGCTTCGTTGAGATATAATTACTATCATTTGTGACCAGGTCGCTTTCTGAAAAAGAGCTACATAGCTCAGCGAGCCTTACCTGGTTAAATACAAAAAAATAGTTACGAAAGAAAGTGTTCCAGAAAAAAAATGTGGTCACGAGAACGCGTTTACCAATCGTCGGGCATGCGTTTGGACGCCGTTGGTATTTGAACGGATATTGGAAAACGTGGAACGGTGGACTATTGTGGTCTTTAAGGACTGGAGTTTGAGAGACCCTCTTCAACAGGCCATTCACTGTCGACAGAGCACGAAATGCAACTCGGACAGAACTCGTGCATTCGCACCTCCGATGAGCACGGTTGGCTACATACGGTGCGAAATAAGTTCAACATAGGTGCATACATTAAGCCTCTTACATAGTGTGTTAATGACGTAGCAAAACCATTGAAAAGCACGAATTCCCAGAGATAGAATTTAGCCGAATCAAGTGAAAAATCGCGTGCGGTTATTGGTTTCGAGGTGACAGAGCCGAGCCAATCAACTAGCTCGAGTCCACAGTTGAAAAATCGCTGGCTGAAACCCAGATTCACGCGCAGGATCTCAGTGGCGTTAACTCAACATCAAAATCACTCGCAAACAGGCAACACCTTGCGATAGACCCAACGCAGAAGATCCCTGGGGTTTGACGCGAAGCTCACGGTCCACCCCCAATCGCAACCGCTGCACAAACTACGGACGTAGATGCGGATACCCGAAGGACAAGCGGAAAATGTACAGTGAGGGAAAAAAGTATTTGATCACCTACCGATTTTGTACGTTTGCCCACTGACAAAGAAATGATCAGTCTATAATTTTAATGGTAGGTTTATTTGAACAGTGAGAGACAAATTAACAACAAGAAAATCCAGAAAAAATGCATGTCAAAAATGTTATAAATTGATTTGCATTTTAATGAGGGAAATAAGTATTTGACCCCCTCTCAATTAGAAAGATTTCTGGCTCCCAGGTGTCTTTTATACAGGCAACGAGCTGAGATTAGGAGCACACTCTTAAAGGGAGTGCTCCTAATCTCAGCTTGTTACCTGTATAAAAGGGACCTGTCCACAGAAGCAATCAGATTCCAAACTCTCCACCATGGCCAAGACCAAAGAGCTCTCCAAGGATGTCAGGGACACGATTGTAGACCTACACAAGGCTGGAATGAGCTACAAGACCATTGCCAAGCAGCTTGGTGAGAAGGTAACAACAGTTGGTGCGATTATTCGCAAATGGAAGAAACACAAAAGAACTGTCAATCTCCCTCGGCCTGGGGCTCCATGCAAGATCTCACCTCGTGGAGTTGCAATGATCATGAGAAGGGTGAGGAATCAGCCCAGAACTACACGGGAGGATCTTGTCAATGATCTCAAGGCAGCTGGGACCATAGTCACCAAGAAAACAATTGGTAACACACTACGCCGTGAAGGACTGAAATCCTGCAGCGCCCGCAAGGTCCCCCTGCTCAAGAAAGCACATATACATTCCCGTCTGAAGTTTGCCAATGAACATCTGAATGATTCAGAGGACAACTGGGTGAAAGTGTTGTGGTCAGATGAGACCAAAATGGAGCTCTTTGGCATCAACTCAACTCGCCGTGTTTGGAGGAGGAATGCTGCCTATGACCCCAAGAACACCATCCCCACCGTCAAACATGGAGGTGGAAATATTATGCTTTGGGGGTGTTTTTCTGCTAAGGGGACAGGACAACTTCACCGCATCAAAGGGACGATGGACGGGCCACGTACCGTCAAATCTTGGGTGAGAACCTCCTTCCCTCAGCCAGGGCATTGAAAATGGGTCGTGGATGGGTATTCCAGCATGACAATGACCCAAAACACACGGTCAAGGAAACAAAGGAGTGGCTCAAGAAGAAGCACATTAAGGTCCTGGAGTGGCCTAGCCAGTCTCCAGACCTTAATCCCACAGAAAATCTGTGGAGGGAGCTGAAGGTTCGAGTTGCCAAACGTCAGCCTCGAAACCTTAATGACTTGGAGAAGATATGCAAAGAGTGGGACAAAATCCCTCCTGAGATGTGTGCAAACCTGGTGGCCAACTACAAGAAACGTCTGACCTCTGTGATTGCCAACAAGGGTTTTGCCACCAGGTACTAAGTCATGTTTTGCAGAAGGGTCAAATACTTATTTCCTTCATTAAAATGCAAATCAATTTATAACATTTTTGACATGCGTTTTTCTGGATTTCTTGTTATTCTGTCTCTCACTGTTAAAATAAACCTACCATTAAAATTATAGACTGATCATTTCTTTGTCAGTGGGCAAACGTACAAAATCAGCAGGGGATCAAATACTTTTTTCCCCTCACTGTAGATGCGGATACCCGAAGGACACGTGGAAAATGTAAAGCTCTCCAGTCGTGTGCGACCGTGGTCATCCTGAACAGACCGTACAACGTATAACGACGCAATGCCCCAATCCACAAATACGAAGGAGACATCGCAAACGATACTACTCCACTGCTCCTGATGCTGTTGTCTGGCTTTAGCGCCTGACTGTGAAATTGTAGTTGTTGCTCTGCATATACATCAGCCGTACGAAAGAAGAAGCACCTCTGGCATGCCTATTGGCCCCGATTCGTGTTGCCACCTCAAGGCTTTCCCCAATGCTGGAGCTGCCCACACAGCAGCAGAGAGTGACGTACTGCTCCGTAGAATTACCTGCAAGTGGCAACCCATGATTCCCTCCAGCTGTCAACCTCTGGCATGCCTATTGGCCCCGATTCGTGTTGCCACCCCAAGGCGTTCCCCAATGCTGGAGCTGCCCACACAGCAGCAGAGAGTGACGTACTGCTCCGTAGAATTACCTGCAAGTGGCAACCCATGATTCCCTCCAGCTGTCAAGTACGTGCAGTGTAATAGCGCCGGCTGGTGACCAGCAGCGGCAACTGCGGTGGACAAACAGGACACGCGCCAGGTGAGCGTCCGCACGGCTGTGTCGGCAGGGCGGAGGGACTGGGGCAAGGGTCATGGAGGGCCCCATCTGGAAGCCCCTGGAGCCTGTTAGTGGGTCCATAAGGGAGGCGCGGCCAGGGCCAAGCCAGGCCGCTCTGGGAGGATAAAAGGGGCTGAGAGCAGGAAGCTCGAGGCTGCCGGTTTTGGGATTGGATCGTCTCGTCGTCGTTGTTGTCGTCTTCGTCGCTGCCGACTTCGCTCGAGGTTGCGCTGCTAGATAGCCTGTGAGCCGTCTCCGCCAGCGCCGTCGATGTCTGATGGCTAGTGTTGTGTCATAGGCTAGCGACGACAGAGTGTGTGCAGGCGAGGTCGTGTGTGTTAAATAAAGAAGGTGCCTCTACAAACGTCGTCTCTGAAGTCACTGTTAATGTATGGATGTTGAACTTCGTTCGCACTATACGTAGCCAACCGTGCTAATCGGAGGTGCAGGTGAGGGGACAACACACTAAACATAAAAAGCAGTTATAAAGAAATTAGTTTCCAAACTACATTTAAAAGTGCGAAGCTCCAGTTGCTTCCTAATATCGGAAGAGCGTTCCAGACGGCCGCAGAAGCGCATCTGAAAGCGCGTGATGCGGTGACCACCGTCTCTGTTCGATGGTTAACCAAAAGCCGCTGCGAGGGTGACCGGAGTTTGCGTGATGCTGCATGTTCCTTGACGAGGTCACGTGGTTCACTTGCGGCAAGCACCTTGTGTGTGTGTGTAATGAGTGCGACCTCATCACGTACTCGTTCGGCAACTGGAAGCCGATGCAGCTCGGCGAGCACCGGACTGACACGGTGGGACCATGCAGTACCACGTCACGACACGTGCCAAAGAACAAGCTGGCATCCTTCCAAGGACACGTCTTACCCTGCACAGCACTCGAACTGCGCAGCGCGATCGGCTCACGCCGTCAAAATCTACCGACCCGTGCACAAATAGGGTGTCCTTCATTCACCCCGCACGCCGCCGATGTATGCACGGTTGGCACAATGGTACGGCGCGAAAGAAGTTCAGCAGACATGCGCGCGCACGCGTGCGTCTCGTGCGAATCGGTTGGAACTTCGCCACACTCGAGAACTCTGCTCAATCCACGCGATGGCTCAGCGGTCTCGCATGAAGCCCTCCCCACGCCTCCACCTCACAAAGACCAGCGACCGTCCCAGGCCGCAACGCCAAATTCACTTTTCGTTTCCTTTTCCCCGTGGACGGAATCCGCGAACGCGATTCTCTCTCTCTCTCGCGCGCGCGCGCGCACACACACACACTCTCACAAACGAGGCAGTGCTTTGTGTTGTTGTTGCTGCTGCCGCTGTTGCTTTAACAGACTGGACCATTTTAATGTTTTTAAACGTAGCACAAACGGACGACGACACGCGAGACGAGCCCCAAACCAACTCGGCACGACGACTGCAGCAGCAGCAGCAGAGCAGGCCAATACTGAACGACCACTTTACTTTTGCTACAACGTTGAGTAAACACTATCAAACACGGATGATCTATATACACACACACACATAACATATCTCTTTCGTGTTACCTGAACGACCCGAGGGGGGGGGGGGGAGGAGAAGGGGGTGGGGTTGGGTGGGGGGAAACATTTTTCGAACGTCAGATGCAATGAATTAAAGGTCGTAAAGTGCATCGCTCCAGCCAGAGGGAATACGCAAGCAATGGAGAAAGTCCGGTCGGAAATAAGTCAACAACTCACACCAGCCTGCACACGCTGGGCACCAAGAGAAACCCCACTGCCAGCTGCTGAACCCGGTGGGGACAGCTTTTCACTCTCGGAAGCCCCACGAAATAGGCGGAGTGGCGTCGGACGTTCAATTGTGAGCGAGCGGAATAGAGGACGTGACTCTCGATGCGGGGGACACTAAATCCTGGAACTGTCCGGGAATACCGGGGGCGGAAAAGGAAGCAAATATGATTATGTTTTACCGAAATGAATTGTGACATGAAGCAGCCCGGTTAATTCCTGCGGGCGTGTTAACCGGTGACACCGTGTGTGCCGTAACAGTGCGCGCTAACGATCCCGTAACGCCGTTCGCAAGAGGAGGCCGTCGTGCGGCCGGCCCCACGGTCCGAATTTGAAAAGTTACCCCGCAAGTTACTCGGTTGTAATCTACTGCAGTAGCCATCGCACCCTCCCCCCACCCCTCTTACTGCCAAAACCGAGCAGTGCCCTCGAGAAAAAGTCAAGCGACTCTGCGAGGCCTTTCCTTGCGTGAAATAGTCGAATAGTGAACAACATTCGGCTCTCGTTAGGGACACTGTCTTGTTTGCTGTGCAACGTTGCGGACACTTGATGCTCATGTGCAATCCTTGCAGGATGTGCGAAACGATAGAGGAATTGTGTGGCAGTGCCACCATTTAGTCGAAGTTAGGAGTCAAAAGTGTTTCGCCGTTCAAACGACCGTGAAGTGATGCTCCTCTCCACTGGCGGCCCTAAAGTGGAGGGGTGAATTCCACGTCACTATGACAGAAGCCGGTCTTTGCTACGGAAAAATAAGCTCGCAACATTTTAGGCCAATCCAATCAAACCTGCTTGGATAATACCAAACTAAAGTGACAAGACAGCAGAAAACACTTTACCACCGTAAGTAACTAATTGCCCTTTTAACAGAAAAATAAAATAGCAAAAGTTATTTGGGAAATTGCCCTTCTTGAGGGCAGAGAGAGGAAAAGGGAGACGATTACGACTCGGAGACAACATTTTATATTTCAAGACACCACTTTGCAAACTCCCATCGCCGTTTATGGGCCAGATTCACTTGCCGATGACGACATAAATAGCTTAAAGCGCGCCGACTCGGCAACTTGCCGTGCAGTTTGGTGAGGCAAATTTCACCGGCAGCAGTTTTCCTACCCAAACAAAAAAAAATCTGACAAAAATGAGCGTTCGCCAACAGGCAAATCAGGCTGTGTTGCAATTTTCTGCACAATATATCATGGCGGTTAAGTCTTTTCGGCCCGTGCACATTTGCCAGAGGCAATGCAGTTCGTGCAGCGTTATTTCCCTTCAAGTAAAGATGAGTTGCTTTGTGCGTGCCCCTTCGCGGACCACTTTTCATTGCAGCCTGAAACTTGAGAATTTGGCCCTTAATTTAAATGTTTTTTTAAAAAAAGAAGCGAAGTCAATAACAATTAACGATAAAAAAACAACAACATATTTTTCAGTGCACCGCGTTACATAACACGCGCGAGGGATAGGGAAAACAGGACGTCACGCACGTTCACGCCGGACGGAAAAGTGCACGACACGGGCACCTCGACATTCGCACGGCTCTCTCGGGTCGCCAAAAAAAAAGAACACGGCCAAAACCCAAGGGGTTAGTGGCGCTTGAAATGTGTTGACGTTGCGGATCCAAACAATAGGTGAAAATCACACCGCGATTGATACACAGGCAAGAGCATCCCCCCCCGCCCCACCCTCCGCATGCTCTCCCATCAGTGTGATCTCAAAACAATGTCAGCATTTTTGAAATGTCTTTTACCTTTTGCCTGTGTGTTTATTTTATTTTGGCGTAAGTTTTTTTTTACTTACCCCCTAACCGGCTTGTAAAAGAGTGGCTACATTGTCAAAGGAAAAATTTAGGGACCTAATTGCTTCCGAATGTTGGAAGGTTTACACTCCCGTTTTAGTTTTTGCCCCCTTCAAGAATTTGACAAAGGCTTCGTTCCGGCTGTGGCGATGCCATGGGGCTTTGTCTCCCAAGGCTTAATTTCTCACGACACAACCGTTGGGTTTAAGCGGCAGACATCAGTAACAACGTTTAACACTGATAACATTTCACACGTGTGTATATATATTTGTTGCGATGCAAATAACAACGGCGACGGACACTGAAGAATTGGTATAAGAGCAATGTAAATGGGATCGTTTTGAACTTGCCCGTTTTGTTCTCTCCACGGAATAACATTTTTATCATCGCCTTCTCCATGCAAATGTAGAGAGACATTTTTACGATCTAAGAAATGTGTTTGTTTTACCATTTGAACACACGCGCCCTTTTCTATCTCTCGGAATTTATCCACGGACTAAAGCCTCCCGCTATACCAATGCGATTTAATAAAACACGAAAATGCCTGTGTGTGTGTGTACGCACAGGTAAAAAAAAAATACCACTTGTAGCCTCATAGACTATCAAGGGGCAAAGCGAGTGTTGTTCGGCGAGCACCTATTAAAGTCGGCACAGCACAGGAGGTAACGGCACGGCCAGCAGCATACGAACCTGGCCGTCTTTGTCTCACCAGTGTTGACGTCGACCGTAACTAACACCACGCCACCACTCGTCTCAGTCCAAACCGACCCCGGGAAGGTCCAAGCCAGGTTGAGTTGCAGATTAGAAGTTTGGGAATCGAACCCGGCTTGCCAAAATCGTGGCACGGCGTGGAGACGGCGCACAGGTTCCCAGACGGAGCTTACGCGCGCGCCGATCACGCCACCTCTCCCTGTGTGTGCAAGCCAACAGGGAAGCGGAACGCAAAGAGTCGCGACTGGCATAGCGAAGGAGAGCTTCGGCACGCCGCCAGGTCAACGGGCGCGCCCTGACCTCAACCCGGAGTGGGGTCGTCACTGCGTAAGCCGCTCTCCTCACTCGATCTCCTGCGCGGCCACCGTTAATCCCCTGGGGGCATTTTGCGGAATGCTAAATTTAAGGGTCCGACCCCACTCGCCGGCGACGTTGCGTTACGCTCTCGAGTATTTCGGCAAACTGCGGTTCGCAAGCCACTGTGTGCCCGAGTGCCGAACTGCGAACGACGTGCACGGCACCGGCTCTGGTGGGCCTTCCTCCTTTTGTTTTGCGTTTTACCTTTTTTTACGTTTTACTCACCTCTCGGTGGCTGAAAAAGCCGACGGGCTACTTACTTGCGACCGCACGACAAAACACCAAGACACGTGTGCGAAGCCGTCAAACATAAACGAAACGACGAGGAATCGCGACGGGCAAGCGGCCAAGGGGGGGGGGGGTGCTGACTAACGCCGCAGGCCCCCCGCCTCCCCTCCCGGCAGGCGGGAACCTCCATCGGCGGGCCAAGACACAGACAGTCACCGAGCACACAACATGGAGAAAATAAATATTCACGCGGTGTGGCATTGTGGGGGGACGCGGCCCGCACTGCCCTGCAAGCCCCGGTCAGGTCGGAGCGGCTCCGTGCTCAAACGAGCCCCCCCCCCCCCCCCCCCCCCCCCCCCGGTGCTGGGCTCGTGTGTCACAGAGCCAGTGGTGAAAATTCCACGTTCCTATGGTAGGGCGAATTACACCCGTGGGGTGACGACGACCGATGACTCTGCACCACGTGAGACTCATCATGTCGACCCTGGAAGGATGACGGGAGTGGGAATATGCAGTGCAGCACCCGACCTGAGTCGCCAGCGAAAATGTCGCGTGACAGTAGTTGTGTGTTTTGGCAGTGCGAGAAACGGGGCTACACTGCACTGATGATCTCGTGAGGATGAAAGCGACGAGGCTGTGAAGGCGATTCGTGGCTCAAGGGGTTATGAATGGCCGTGTTGAGGTACTGAGCGAGAAACACGAGAGGGAAAACGTTTCTAGGTCTCCCGCTGCGATGAATCCAGGAACTCAAACGTAGCGGCCGAGTCCAGTGAAACGACGGCCACACATTAATAATGTGGATGTTTGCCCAATTTGGCTCGGCCCGGCTTATGGAGCGAAACTTGATAAATACTTGAGTGACATCTGGTCATTTACTATTTGGATCAGGGAGAGAGACAGACCTCGGTGCCTCCGTGAGTCGTTCTGGCCATGGTGTCACCTCGCTGGACCGTTCCCCCCACGGTTGGATTCTAACCGAGTTTGCCAAGCGAAATCTAGAGACCCATCACAACAAGACTCCATAAGCACAATTAAAATGTAACGAGTGCTTAAAAAAAGAAGAAAAAAACGGATTATTTTTTTTGTTTCAACAAAAAACACTCGAGACGTTCGCCAATAACACTGTGGCCTGAAAATAAAAAAATATATAATCGACAACGTTTCGGAACAACGGCCATAGCTCGTCGCTCATAAATAACAAAAAAATGTCGCCTATCACATATATACGTTATTCTCAAGGCCACAGCGCTCTTGACGGCCGTGTTGGGTTTCATCTTTAAATGTGCTTGTGCACTGCGTATCGTTGTAAAGTAATCAGTGCTTGGTGCTGACGGCGTGGCGACGCACGCTCGTCGTTCAGTGCTTCGGAGGGAAGGGTTTGGTGGATCGCGTCGATTCTCAAACTCCACGTGACTGCAATGTGGCCCAGGAGATGGTAGTGCATCAGGAAGGTGAAGTGAATCCTTCTGTCTGGACCTTTTGAGCGTTATAACCTTGTTCGCGTGTGTTTTCTCCGGGCACGCCAGGTTACTTCCGCAAAGCAAAACAATCCTTGCAAACAAAAGGTGGCAAGACAAATAGCAATATGGAACCTTCCTGTAAAAGATCTGGAGGCTCAATGACACCTGTCTGGATGTGAGACATTGAGGGCCTGAATATTGACGGGCCTCGACGATGACACCGGTCTCTGGTCTGGAGCTCACGCCACAGCTGCCTGGCACCGCCACTAACGGTGTGAGCGGCTCGTCAGAGGCCACGGCTGCTCGTCAGTGATGAGAGGAAAAAAAAAACCCCTTTAAATCCTGGTTCTGCAGGGGGCTTGGGCATGTGACGAAAATGTCTAAGATAGGTTTTAACCACGGGGATGAACGCACCGGCATCTTCAGGATAAATAACGCAACTGTTACTTATGGGGCTTGCAGGGCGTTGTGGGCGTTTCCCCCCATGACGCCGTGCGACGTCGGCATGTAATATATTGCTCTACACACGTAATGCGCTTGTGTAGAGCGGAGTGGGCGGCGGGCGAGGTTGTCTTGAGTGGCACGAGCTGGAGAGGCTCGCACGCCAACGCTCACAGGATGCTCTCCTTCTCTGCACTAGCTCCGGCGCTGTCTGCCGCGCCGCCCACTCCTCCCCCTCCTGCGCCGCCGCCGCCGCCGCCGCCGCCCTTCTTGCCCCTGGTAGGTGCGGGCGCCTTCCGGTTGAGGTTGGGCCGCGCGTTGTCGACCCTGGCGCGCGCCGAGTTGGCTTTTGGCGCATTGCCGCCGCCGCCGCCGCCGCCTCCGCGCAGCGGCACGCGCACGTTGGGGGAGGAGGGGGCCGGCCCGCCCGCAGACCGCCCTGCCGCTCCCGTCCCCCCTCCTCCTCCTCCTCCTCCTCCAACGCTGCCCATCTTGGATCTCGCCGTTTGCTTCTTCGGGGGCGTCATCGGAGTCGCGGCGCCGCGTGGTGCCGTGGCGGCGCTCGGTAGAACGCCGCCGCCGCCGCCGCCAGTACCGAGGGAGGAGCGGTTGTTGTTGTTGATGGTCTCTACACTGTCCGCACGATTCAAAACGCCCCCCGCCATGGCCGCCGTCTCCGCCTTCCGCCGCCGGCTCGTCTCGGCCTGCGTGGCCGGCGGGACGAGCGCTCGCCGCTCGGCCTCGGGGCTGCTCAGGACGAGGCTGCTCTCGGAGCCCGACGGGCTGCGCTTGCCGTCGGAGCAGATGGACATGCGCGTCACGTCCGGCGCGTCCGACGCGCCGCCCCCGCTCGGCAGGGGGCCGGCGTCCATCGCAGGAGGCGCCGGCGGCAACTGGGCGCCGGCGAGCTCCACGAGGTCACCGACGGCGCGCGCCGCCGACGGCCCCGCGAAGCCGCGCAGGCTCGGGGAGCTGCCGGCGCCCGAGTCGGACGAGTCTTTCTTGCCCAGGGGGAACATCTCGGCGACGTGGCCCTCAGACTTGGCCGCGGGGCCGCCCGCCTTGCCGCCGCTGTTGTTGGCGTTGGTGTTGGCGTCGTCGGACGGCTGCGCGGCGGCGGCGGCGGCGGCGGCGCGGTCGGCGTCGGGGTCGTGGTCGGGGTCGGGGTCGGCGGCGCCGGCGGAGCGCAGCAGCGGCACGTCGTCCGACTCGTCGGCGCCCGAGTTGTCGTCGTCGCTCGCCAGCTGCTGGTAGCTGCGGTGCTTGATGTCCACCGCCTGGAGCACGCGCTTGCCCAGCGTGGCCGCCGCCGCCGCCGCGGCCGTCGCCGAGGCGGCCGGGCGCGCCCTGCTGCCCCCGGCGGGGTCCCCCGCGTGGTCCTCCTCCTCCGTGATGGGGTCCAGCGCCGGCACGGCCGCCGCCGCCGCCGCCGCCGCCGCGGCGCACTCCGGCGACGCGGAGTCGCTCGCGTCGCCGGAGTGCGTCGACGCCGCTTTGGAGGACGGGAGGGACGAGGAGAGGGAGGCGGAGAGGGAGAACGGCTGCCCGCCTCCTCCTGCGCCTCCTCCGCAACCACTGCTCGTGCCGCCGCCAACGCCGTATGCGGCCACGCGCTGGGAGCAGGCGTTGTGGTTGCGGTTCTCCTCGTGCAGCGAGGCCGAGGAGACGCTGCCGCCCAGCAGGAAGTGCACGGGGCTGTGCGGGGACGTCACCTGGAGGAGGAGGAGGAGGTGGCAGGCAGAGGCTGATTAGCGGGGGGGGGAGGCGTCTGGCAGCGATTGGATAGATCGCCCTATGACTGGAGGCCACCCGGCTCCCAATTGGGATCGCACACATACACACATGCACACAGCGGCAGCAGCCGCAGCATAAATAGTAGCCCCCTCCGGGCAGACTGACGGGCACTTGGGAGGCCGCTGCTGAGACACCTCAGCTGCCACTGAGGGTCCCCCCCTTAAGAGTGGTCGAGATGAGGTATGATGTAAGGCGATTTGAGATGCTGAGGAGAGTGGGTGAGTAAGGAGTGGTACAGTGGTAGAGTGACAGGCTAATGGTAGGAGTGGTAGGGCTGGGTAGGAGTGGTAGGGTTGATAGGAGTGGTAGGAGTGGTAGGAGTGGTAGGGTTGGTAGGGTTAGTAAGAGTGGTAGGAGTGGTGGGGTTGGTAAGAGTGGTATGGCTTGGTAGGAGTGGTAAGGTTAGTAGGAGTGGTAGGAGTGGTAGGAGTGGTAGGATTGGTAGGAGTGGTAGGGTTGGTAGGGTTGGTAGGAGTGGTAAGAGTGGTAGGAGTGGTAGGATTGGTAGGAGTGGTACGGTTGGTAGGGTTGGTAGGAGTGGTAAGAGTGGTAGGAGTGGTAAGAGTGGTAGGGTTGGTAAGAGTGGAAGGCTTTATAGGAGTGGTAGGAGTGGTAGGGTTGGTAAGAGTGGTAGGGTTGGTAGGAGTGGTAGGGTTGGTAGGAGTGGTAGGGTTGGTAGGAGTGATAGGGCTTATAGGGTTAGTAGGACTGGTAGGAGTTGTAGGGTTAGTAGGAGTGATAGGGTTTTTGTAGGAGTGGTAGGCGAGTGCAAGACTGGTGGCGAGCGCCGGACTTGTAAGCGCACCAGCGCGTGAGCGACCGACCTGCGAGCTCTTGATGGAGCTGGCGCCGCTCGTGGGGCAGTCCACCTGCGCCATCTGGCTGATGTAGGCGCCGTAGGCGTCACGGTACTCGGCCTGCTGCCGCTCGGCCAGGCGCGACAGCTCCGCCACGGAGGCCTCCGAGTTGAGGCTGGACATGCTGTGCGTGCGGTGTGACAGTCCGTCCGCCAGCCGGCCCGCACCCTGCGGCACCAGCGCGCACGGCCGGCGTTGGTGACGAACGAGGAATCACAATAATAATAATGATTGTTATTCATACTATATCGTACGTTTGGTATTCGCTACCGTTGAGAATAGGTTTTGCCCCTTTTATCTGGCAACAAAACAGGTGTTAAGTTGTTAAAACGCCACAATATTTGTGGTCAAAATGCAAAAAAAATTACTCTGATGATATATGCATTAACTTTGAAACTGATTGGTCCACACCAGAGACGGATTTCTTTTGAGCCTAGTCTCAAAAAGGTGTTAGACCAGAGGACGCCAAAAGGCGTCACACAGCCCAAAGACAATGCCACTATCAGAGTAATGAGAGCTCGGGGTGAGTATCTACATCATGGGACCTCCTTTGCCAGTACCAATATATTCGCGACCATTCTTGCACCCCCACAAGCATCATCTCAAGGACAAAGTGCCTGCCACAAATGAACCGCAATACCTTGCCGATCCCGTCAAGGAACGTAAACCATCACGTGAACACTGGTCATCCTCGCAGCGGCGGCTTTTGTCTAGCCTTCGAAGAAAGACGCTCACCACACGGTGCGCTTTCAGATGTGCTTATGCTGCCATCTGGAATGATCTTACTTCCGATATTCGGAAGCGACTGGAGCTATGCAGTTTTAAATGTAGATTGAAAACGAATTTCTTTCAAACTGCTTTTTGTGTTTAGTTTGTTTTTTTGCTTCCCCCGCACCTCCGATTAGCATGGTTGGCTACGTGCAGTACAAAAGAAGTTCAACATGCATACTTACATGTATGTTGAAACAAATGTAGTTTTGTCAGTAGGGTTTGATATTGCTGTTGGTTATTCCAACGAAGTAATTTGCGAGTAACCTTTTTAAATTCGGAAAAATTTTTTGACCATGATGTCATCACCAATGACCTGCTCTTTTTCGGACGATATCACGGGACCTTCATCATCCCGCGTGAAGCGAACAGCGCATGGTGTTTATAGTCGACACACCCACGCAAATATTAACCAGGGCGGCATTTCGAGGACTCGTAGTACGTGCGGCAGCAGCAGCATACACACGACACAAAGTACGCACGTTCTTAGAGTACACGTACGTACGTACGTGCGTTACATGCGAACGCTGGCTCGGAGCCCATCCGCAATGTGATGGGCGGTGGGGGGGGTGGGTAGTTTGCCATTAAGGCTGGCGGCCCTGTTATAGAAGCAACGTTGCCAACAACATGAAAGAAGGTCCAAAGAAATATGCGAACGCAGACACGGGGGAGAGGGCCGGGCCACCCCCCTCGGGCAACGGCGTAGGCCCCTCCAGCCGAGTTCCGTGACGGATTGGCAAGGGGTGAACAGATCAAACGCAGTGGGGTGGGGGCGGCTAAGGAGCGGATCAGACTAGCACGCTGGCAGGCTGGAACACTGACAAGAGGAGGTACGGTCGGCCTAAGTGTCAATACATTTTTTGTTTCTCAAGTGCAGGTGGCGTGCATCCAAGAAGCGAGATGGAGGGTAAGCACGGCGAAAATTCAATCAGATAGGCGGTTACAAGGTCAGCCGCCACGGTACGACGCGCAGCGCGAGTGGCATCGCTATCGTCGCGAGTGAAGATGCGAAGAGGGAAGAGGTCACAGCACGGGAGGGGAAGGTGGGGCTGCAGCTAAGGGCGGACTGGAACGTGGCACGCTGAACATCTTGAGTTCCTACGCATGGCGACGTTCGTTTGCAGTGACGGTCTAGCGGAAGAGGTCAGGGGGGACGCTCGATCGCAGCCTGCAAGCCTCCCGGGAAACGGGGGGGGGGGGGGGGGGGGTAATCGTCAAAGAGTCAGAATTTCATTGGCATGTGAGGAGGAAAAAAGAAGTGCCTGTGAGTGATGCCACATGGGGCCAAGTATATATGTATGTTGAACTTCCTTCGCACCATATGTAGCCAACCGTGCTAATCGGAGACGGTGACATTAACGAGGAAGGCGGGGGAGGAGATCCTGCAGAGCTCTCCGATCTATTTTCAAGTTGCGCGTCGCGTGCTGTTCGTCACGACGTGCAACGTGACACAGCGGAACGATGTTGTCAAAACACAATTCTCGATGTAAAATTCAGTCGGCCTGCTCGCAACTCTACGTCCAAAGTGGAGTTTTCCAGTGAAGAGGTTAAGGTGCGATTTGATTGTTTGCCGAATTTACCAAATGGGAGGGAACAGCAACTCGACCGCCACCACCACCACCACATCACCCCTCTCAGTAACCTACCGAGCCCTGTATAGCGCCTGGGTGGGTGACCACGTCGTGCGTCAAGAGACGGCGGGGGGGGGGGGGGGGCGGCTGGTGGTTTAGTGCAGTCGGCGTCGTGGGAGGCAGCGGCGGAGGGCAGCGCGCCCCAAGCCCATTGTCGTTCTGCCCTCCCTCCCCCGCACCTTCACCAATGCCGCACTGACCACGGCGGCGAAGTACGGTCAAACGCCCCTCACGCCCTCGCATGGCGCGCGGAGGGGGGGTGGGCGGGGGCGGGGGCGGTTCTCATCCAGCAGCGGATTGACAAACGGGTGGGGGGCTGTGGCTGCTGTGGCTGCTGTGGCTGCTGTGGCTGCTGTGGCTGCTGCTGCGACCCACCTGCCACAGCGAGGCCTGTCCGCCCAGCGCCGACTCGTCCAGGCCCACGGTGCACAGCTCCTCGAAGCTGAAGTTGAGGCTGTATTTGTCGTTGGGCAGCGCCGCGTCCGGCTTGGCGGCCGCCCCCACGGAGGCGGAGGCGGTGACGGTGGCGCGTTCGCGGTGGGGGGGCGGCCCCCCGTCCAGGGAGCCGACGCCGCCGGCGCCGCCGACGCCGGACTCGCTGGCGGAGCGCAGGTCGTGCGACGGCTGCTTCTCCAGCTCGCGCATCTCCAGCACCTGCGGGCGTTGGGACGGAGAGAAGGGGAGGACGGACGGGCGGACGGACGGGCGGACAGACGGGCGGACAAACAGACAGGTGGACGGACGGCGGATGAGGACGATGTTAAAGGTCGCCGGGTGGCATGGGGGGGGGTTAGGAATACCATGGCACAGTGTGCAGTCGGGCACCGCTGACAACCTGGGATGGAATTGGGATTTGGGCCACATGTAAGCAAACTAGGAGCCAGGTAGCATCGCTCGTAAAGCAACAAAACTAAAAACTAAACTATTTTTTTATTTTACCAGGCAGCTATATTGCTCTTTTTCAGAAGCGACCTGGCCACAAATGATTGCTGCTGAACCAAGTGGCTTATCATGTTTCTAAATGTGGAGGGAAAAACCAGAGGACCCGGAGAAAAATCCACGCGACCACGGGGAGAACATGCAACCTGCAAATAGGGTCGGGATCGAACCCACGACTTCCTGTATACCAGGCGCTGCAAGTCAACATCTCTCCACGGTGGTGAGATGTTCACTAACAAAAACCGCTTCCTGACAGCGATGAACATCAAGTGGTCAAGTAGTGACCGGTTGGCTCAGCCATCTGTGATTTTAAACCGGGTTCTCAAGTTTTAATCTGGGCACCAATGACTGCCAAGAAGCCGTGACATTCCAGCTCTATGACAATGCCGCAGATAAGCACACACCAGTCTTAACCGCAAGAATGCAATGCACATGAACATAAGGTACAGTACAATTTGCATTTACATAAACGACTGAGCTGCACATGCTGGCTGCCAAAGGGCAGATAATTGTACCATGCTGATACACTTTAAACATTGTGCTGTGAACACTGATTGGTACAGGGAGCCATAAACATTTCACTGCTGCATGTTGTTGTTGCAACACGTTGTTGTTGTTGTTGATGTTGTTGTTTGGGATCGGTGGCTCACGTTCCATCGCAGTGCAGGAGCGAGCACACACCACCGTGTTGTGGCGTTGGTTTATGAAGCACGGCCGCGTGTGGCAGCTTAACCTTGCGGTGAGCTGCAGCCTCACCATGCTTCTGAAGAGCTGCCAGTCTCCAAAGTTCATGCTCATTTCGTCCTTGAGTTCATCCATGTTGCACTGTGCCAGCACTCTTCCATTGATGTTTGCCTGTTTGGGATGACGCATAAAATACACAAAGACAAAGATCCCACCTGTATAGCCTCAACAGACTTATTGGGACAAGTGCTGTCAGCGAGCATCACCTTTCAAGGCCGGCACAACACACGAGGGGGCACGTGGCCAGCACCACGGTGGCGATGTCTACACATCGCACCCAGTACTCATTTGAGGACGAGTCGACCTAGGGGAGGCCCACGGCCGGTTCAGTTAATCATCACCGGTGTTAGCCGTGAGCAGGAATCGAATTCGGGGTCACCGGGTTCGTAGCGCAGTGCGCTCACCACTGCGCCCCCGCTCACCACATAAAATACACACACACACACACACGAGGACAAAGATCTCCTGTGTTCGAGTTGTACGCGATTGGGGCAGGTTGTGTCCAGAGCGCAGTAAGAATGTCATCCTCCATGAACGGGTTGGCGCTCATTGCACATTGGCAGCCCACAGCAACATACAGGACATTCCACATTCCCATGATGGGGGCCAGTCTGTCAACACGACAACAACCGTAAACGTTTATTGTCCGTGGAGGGACGGGTTGGCCGAGTTGACCTGGAGCCAGAATTTTGAAATTTGCGGTAAAATGGGTGAAGGCAAAAGCGCAGCCCTGCAATTTCTTGCTCATGCCACTGCCGGCAGAAGGGCCTCCACCGTAGGCTCTTTGGCCTACTCTCCCACGTTGGCCAGTCGTGTTGAAAGAGGTGGATGTACCCAGCAGTGTAAATGGATACATTTATCTTGCTGGGCAGACAAAAGTGCAAGGTTTATTAACAAATATTGCTCAAGCTTTTCTGTGCCAGCAGATGGAATCAAACCCGTTGACCAGCGTAGAATAATATTATAAAACACATATAAAAGCTATATACGTAATTTAATGAGCTGCTAAAATAAAAGGGCGGAGAGAGCGGGAAAGATGCTCCAGCGAGTACGATCCCTCTAGATTCCAAAACGGTGTTAAAATGCATCAGCAGCGTGGACACAGCCGCGTTGTTATGACGTACGTATATATCTGTACGTGTTTTGAACTTCTTTCACACCGTACGGAGCCAACCGTGCTCATCGGAGGTGCGGAGGGAAGGGCAACAAACTAAACACAAAAGGCAGTTATAAAGAAATGAGCTTTCAATCAAGATGATTTAAAAGTGCATAGCTCCCGTGGCTTCCTAATATCGGAAGGAAGAGCGTTTCAGACAGCCGCAGAAGCGCATCTGACAGCACGGGATGTGTATGCGCATGTTGAACTTCTTTCGCACCGTACGTAGCCAACTGTGCTAATCGGAGGTGCGATGCAGTGACGGGGAAAAGTGTTGAGCCGGTGGCACCAACTTATGGCGCTACAAGTTGGTGCCGCCGGTTCAACAGTGCGCAATATCGCAGCAACTACCGGCTCCTGGATTCATCAATTCATCTACAGGGTGCTAAAAAACTCACTTTATGCGGCAGTAACAGACGGGTTCCAAAAAAAAATGGGCACAAAGCGAAACCGCAAGAGGTGACAGCAGCCTGCCAGGTAGTGCATACAGACAAGACAAAGATCCCCTGTATAGGCTCAGGAGACAGTTGGGGCAAGTTCTGTAAGCGAGCACATTGAGGGCCAGCATGGCACACAAGGGGGTGGGAGGCCAGAAGCACACCCGGCCGCCTTTGTCTCTCTAGTGGTCATTTTTACAAACCACACCACGTACTCATTTGAGGCTGAGTCAACCTAGGGGAGGCCTAGGACCGGTTCAGATATTCATCACTGGTGTTGGCCTTGAGTGTGAATCGAACCCGGGTCGCCGGGTTCGTAGCGCAGGGCGCAGCATCACCACTCGCGCGGTGTGTCCCAACTCCGACCGGAATCCGAATCAGAATTTTTATTTCGACTGGAGGAATCCGATGAGCGATGAAGCTCGTTTTCACAGATGTCCAGTAAACCGCATAGCTGCATAATTCAAACCACGTATACCGAAGTTTGGGTAGATATAGGTTAGCCGCATTTCCACGAAATTGCACAAACCGAACCTGCTTAGATACGCGGGAAACTCGTATAGCTTCCATACCGCAACCGGGGTTGGAGGCACGTTGGCTGGGCGTGGGCCGCGGTGAGTTTTCGGCGTTTTTTGGAAGCCACATGCCTGGCGCCAACCTTTTCAAAATGGCTGGAAATTTATAAGATTGTTTTCTTCTTTAAAACCCATCTCGACTTTTAAAATGCAATCGATGTACAGCAATCGATTGGGTCAGCAGGACTCTTCGGGGGAACTTAGTTAACCGGCACAGGCTTCGACGGCAAGAACGTGACTCTCGCAACAAGGCTTGCACCCGCGTGCTGCTCTGTTCAACACGGGCTGTAACGCCGGGGATATTTAGTTGATTTCGGCTGTGCGACTCGCAGTAACTTGGGAGTGTTTTTTTTTTTTCTTTCACGGTTTGCACATTCACAGCATGGCTGCAAATTGGCTGGACGAGGTCGCACGCCTTTGGCCACCACGGCCTTCCTTACGGTTGAGAAAAAAAAAGGAGCGCGACAGCCGCGGGTCACGTGATCACAGTCGCCCGAGGAAAACCACGCTTCACTGCGTCGCAGGGTCTGGAGAAGTCTCGTACGTTGGGAAATAGTTTTTTTTTATTAATTAAAAGCTTGGCTGATTATTAACCAAACTGATTTTACGAAGAGGGTTCAGTCTCCACGAAGGTGAATTGTCTCTGCGAAACAGTGAACTGGGTTTCCAGTAGGTCTGCCGTCGTGTTACTGGCAATGTTTCGGGACCACACCCAACGACAGCATCCGACACGAGCATGATGTGTTTTGATAGCAAATAACCATGACTGGGTGGGAAAAGTCAACATTGATCGTTATACAGACAAAATGGTATTTTAGAGCCTCCAGCATAGCAAGGTTCAATTGGCGCAACTGGCTCAGGACTCCCATGTATGTATGTTGAACTTCTTTCGCACCGTACGTAGCCAATCGCGCTAATCGGAGGTACAGCATTCAGTAGCCACTTAGGAAAGGTGACTTTTAGTTAGTAGTTTGCCGGCAACAATCCAGACTCCCCGCTCGAGCGACAGGTCCCTACAGAGGTTGTACCTAGACACCCGCCGTCCAAGCCCGCCTTTTATTGCAAGGGCGTGTGCAGCGCGAGCACGCACCTTGCGGATTGTGTCCTGGTACTTGTCCAGGAGGCCGTGGTCGATGCCCTCGAGGGTGGCGAGGCGCTCGCACACGTCCGCCACGGGGAGCGAGCTCAGCGTGGGCGAGGTCGCATCGTCCAGCAGGGCCGTCGATGACTGCACGGACACACGGAGTTGGCACACGGCACGCACAGCATGACACGCGGGTGGCACACAGCACAGATACACGGGTGGCACACATCATGACACGCGGGTGGCACACATCATGACACACGGGTGGCACACAACACACACAGCATGACACACGGGTGGCACACAGCATGACACACGGGTAGGACACAGCACGCAGAGCATGACACACGCGTGGCACACAGCAAAATGTGCATTTTTTTTTAATTAGTGTGGATATTAAGCAATCGGTGCAATCCATTGTGTACATGAACTTCACCACATGTGACACAACACATTGCTGACTTGTTTGGTATCACCAAGCCACTGTGATGCCAGAGGCATATTACACATGCTCGACCTCAGATTGTGTTAGCGACACCGACGCAGGTGGCATAGCTTTGTTTAAGGCCATCTCGGTCCCAAGACGCCTCTTTGATGTGCCCTCCGCCACTTGCGCCAGGAAGGCTATTTCCAGCCCAACTCGGACAAAAAACCAAAGCCTTCAAAACCCCTCCGTGAGCATGTGAACTAATTTGTGCAAATGTTATTGGATTAATGAAGAAACACGTAAACACTTCAAGGGTGATCTACCATAACCCTTTGTTCGTGGTATTTGGGTCGCGAAAATATTTGGAAATTCCGCTGCGCGACTCCAAATATTTTCTCGTCTTACCACTTTTTGTTTAGGGGAATAAACATTTCGCAGATTGCTGTACTTTGCCAAGTAAACGTTGATATCATTGACCACAGAGGTCAAAATTTTAACGGGGAATCTTTGCAAACCACATCAGTGTTAGTGGTGGTCGGGTAACGAGTGGGGCTGGGTAGCTACTTCGTGAACCGATACCGTGTCTGAGCAATGAGCTGGGACATGCAGAGGCCCGGGTTCAAAACTTCGTCTGTGCCACACATCATTATGAAAAAGAGGGCCATCTACTGAAGTGACTTCACAAGTAGTTCCATGACATCAACTTCCAAAGCCATTCTCTGACACAGGCTGATGGAATGCTCATTGGCCAACACCTGCAAATGACAACGCATTGGGTTTATAATGAAGCTGATGGAACAATATGAATGTAATTTGGAGATTTTGTTTTTATCTGATATTAAGATTCTAACTTACCCACAAGCAGGAGAAAGACAAAGAACCCCCCTTATAGCCTTAACAGACTTTGGGGCAAGTGCTGTTAGCGAGCACCTATGAAGGCCGGCACGGCACATGAGGGGATGGGTGGACAGCATCATGCCCTGCCGCCTTTGTCTCCCAAGTGGCGATGTTTTCTCAATGCACCAGGTACTAACTTGAGGCTGAATCGACCTAGAGGAGGCCCAGGACCAGTTCATTTAACCCATCACTGGTGTTGGCCGTGAGAGGGAATCGAAATCGGGTCGCCGGGTTCGTACGGAGCGCACTAACCCCTCTAAACTTTGGCTCCCGCGCAAACATACATAAATACACACACACGCACACTGGAACACTTTCATACGCATACGTACACATTCCCAAGCAGAAGGAAACTCATTTGTTCTTGTGGCTTTTTGAGCAATTGTATTAATTTACCTGTTAAGAAATTCCACCTGAAATTTTAATCTGTTTAAAAGGCCAATCCATGTAAATTAATACCAGTCTCCGATACGTTTGCACATTTGAGAATACATATTCCCCATTTAATATTGCGCACTCCAGAGGTGAGTGATATTGGCAAGCATCCATTAAGGTTGGCACAGGACAGGGATGCTTCGGCCAAGACTCCACCGTGGCACCACCTTTGTTTCACCATTCCTGATATGCATCGCACGAGCTACTCAAATTAAGGCCGAGCTGACCTAGGAGACGGTCCCATGACAGGTTCGCATCGCACAGCCGGGAATCGAACCCAGGTCACTTCGATCAAAGTAGAGGGCGCTAATAACCGTTGCTCCTCCTTCTCCCTGTACGGGACGTGCAATTCTGCAACGTGCAGCACGCTTCGCGTCTGTTCTCCTTCCCCCCCCCCCCCCCCGAACGCGTTTGCGTGCCGACACGACCGGCGAACTCAGGGGGCACCGGCCGGTGCGAATTCACTGAGGTTTGCAAAGAAATTCCTGCGCACAACGCATTATTTGTAGGGCGGCGGTTGGGTTTGCGCGCAATCAAAATAGCGAACAAGTCATGTCACGCTCCGACGCGCATCTCCATTCGCAACACAAGCGGCATCATTCCTCCCCGCAACCATTCCATCTCACGTAGCAGCAATCAACACCGGGTTTGTTATGGGGGTGCACGGACCCTTCCGGCACGCGTGGATCTCGATTTTTGGTGCGGCCTCGGACCGAGTAAAGCTTTAAATATGGAACAAATGCGACGTTAAATAACGCGTTGAGTCAGCCGCGTGAATGGGCTGGGTTTGGGTAAGCGGTGAGTACTTTTGGAAGAGGCTTTGGAGAATAGCAACAGAAGATAAAAAAAAAGAACCACGGATAAATAAACACATTCCTACGTGTGTGTGTGTGTGTTTTTTAAGCAAAATTATTAATAGAATGAGAGCTCAGTCAAGTAAAGTTACAACAAATGGCAAAATATCAAGTGTCTCCATAAGCATACGAGCATTGGGGGCTGCCAGAAATGGAAAGTCCAACTTATCATGGCAGGAGCCAGTCTCTGGGAAAACCGAAGTTGATCCACCATAAACTGGTACTCAATTTATGAACCCTGGAGGGATGATAACCTACGTTGAGCCTCCCCGAGAATTTGGACATTCAAAAAAAAAAACTTCCGATCGTATATCGTGTGCTCAAAGCTCCGGAAAGGTTAACAAAACCCCGCTTGCTGTACTGCCTGCTCACTGGCTACCATGCAGCTCCAGGGAGCTTGGTGAGCGTTTGGAACCTACCAACGCTTGCTTCTAAAGTGCTGGATTGCAGGCGTGCACCACTAATGCCTGGCTAAAGTCAATGATCTTCACAATCAGCTGAATACACTGCTGGCACAAAAGCGCTGTTGTTCGCAAGTACTTTAAAAAAAGAGGCGGGCACAGCAGAGTAGCAGATTGCATGGCCAGCGCAAAAAAAATGTCACTCAAAAGTTTTCACGTTCAGGCCGAGCCAACCAAAGGGACAGAGGCACAGGTTCAGTTTGGAAACCAACCGCCACTGAGGCCGTACATGACCAGGAATCGAACCTGGTCGCTTGAGAACGCAGGGCAAACTGCATTGACCACCGACAAGAGCTCCGCAAATTCAATCGCACGCATGCGCACAAACACACAAGCAGGGACACGTGTCGTGCGTGCACACGTACAGCGGTTTTAGCCGAATCAATCTCCAAAATTAGTATGCTTGGAACGGTTAGCTCCACCGAATGAAGTTAGCATTTCAAAGACAGCACAAACATTTTGAGTTTGTGCACACACACCGTGCGTATTTTAGTACGGCAAGTTATTCCACTGGCTGCGCAATGCACAAAACGAGAGCGGTTAGGAGTTAAGATTTGCGAGCCAAACCCACAATGGCACACCTACAGCCGATATTCTTTTCTGCTTCCGTAATTTGCGCTGCAAAACAGAGAAGAGTTTGAAGAAGACAAAAAAAGACGGGGGGAGGAAATAAAGGAGAAAACATTACGGAGAGCCAGACGATGATCGGAAAAGAAAAAAAACCAGAGTCGGTGCACACAGGGGACGATAAATCACAGCACGGTACAGAAACCCACCGTTATTCCCCAGTGCTGTTGGGGGCAAGCGCTATGAAGGCCGGCACGGCACACTAGGGGCTGGCTGGCCAGCATCATGCCCGGCCGCCTATACCTCCCTATTGGCGATGATTACACATAGCACAAGGAACTCATTTGAGGCCGAGCCAACCTAGGGGAGGTCAAGGACCGGTTTCAGATATTCGTCACCGATGCTGGCCGTGAGCGGGAATCGAACTCGGGTCGTAGCGCTCGCCCCACGCACATATACAACAAACATAATTATGGACATATACAACAAACATAATTATGCACACATACAACAAACATAATTATGCACATATACAACAAACATAATTATGCACACATACAACAAACATAATTATGCACATATACAACAAACATAATTATGCACACATACAACAAACATAATTATGCACACATACAACAAACATAATTATGCACACATACAACAAACATAATTACGCACACATACAACGAACATAATTATGCACACATAAAACAAACATAATTATGCACACATACAACAAACATAATTACGCACACATACAACAAACATAATTACGCACACATACAACGAACATAACTATGCACACATACAACAAACATAATTACGCACACATACAACGAACATAATTATGCACACATACAACAAACATAATTAAGCACACACACAACAAACAAATTCTGCACACATACAACAAACATAATTATGCACACATACAACAAACATAATTATGCACACACACAACAAACATAATTACGCACACATACAACAAACACAATTATGCACACATACAACAAACATAATTATGCACACATACAACAAACATAATTATGCACACATACAACGAACATAATTATGCACACACACAACGAACATAATTATGCACACACACAGCGAACATAATTACGCACACATACAACGAACACACACATCCCCGACTAATGTTGGCCGAATCGTCACAACCACGCAGACCATTGACAAGCAGCAGGTTTTTCTCTCTCAATCCAAGCGTTCAACGTGCACTCTCTCACAATGCGCAGCTCGCAAAGCCTGCAGCGAGACGAGCACACCGTGTTCTCCGAACTGCATTATTGAAAGCTACACGTCTGGCAGCCGCGGAAGCGGCAAACAAAATGCAAAGCAACACCACCGTCGTTATGAACGTTGAGTATACACGAGAGGCAGTGTCCGGCCCCGCGCCCCCGCACACACGCACAATCTCTGTTGGTGGCCTTCAGTCATTCGTGGAAGTTCCACATTTCTACGGTGGGTTGTCAGTCTATCTAT